GGTACCGGGAATTGAACTCCGGACCTTGAGCTTGCAAGGCAGGTGCAGTGCCACTGAGCTAAATCCCCAGCCCTGAGAAAACTAATTTTAGTAGAGTGTAAAAGTGAACACAAAGAATTGCTTCTGTAATTAGCCTCCCCCCCGCCACCCTTCACCCTTCTCTGCAGCTGTGCCATTTTTCTGATCCATTCACAATTAAACTTTTCAGAATTGTCTCAGAGTCTGTGCCTTCTCACATCCTTGGCATACTCCCTCCAATCTGGCTTCGATCTATACTCTGCCCTTCCTTCTTTTTAAAACTTTTTATTTCCCCAGTACTGGGGATTGAACCCAGGACCATCTCACTGAGCTACATCCTAAGTCCTTTTTTATTTTTTACTTTGAGACAGGGATTCACTAACTCCCTGAGTTGCCCAGGCTAGGCTTTAATTTGTAATCCTCCTGTCTCATCTCCCAAGTGCTGGGATTACAGGTGTGCATCACAGTGCAAACCCAGCTCAGTTTTGTTTCTTTAACTTCCTAATACCACATTCTTCTCGTTTTCTACCTTTCTCCTGTGCTTCTTACACTAAAATATCCCAACATCAAATTTTACTCAGGCTTCCAAAGTAGTAGCCAGTCCCAGGACTTTAGATGCTTTCTCGGTATCATAGTACCTTAATATATATCTCTAGCCTATCACTTTTCCCACTAAATTTAAGACTTCCCATTTTCCATCTCTCTCTCTCTTTTTTTTTGAGACTGGGTCTCACTATGTAGTTTAGGCTGGCCTTGAACTCACTATGGAGCCCAAGGTGGCTTCCAATTCATAATAAACTTCCTGCCTCAGCCTCCAAAGTGCTGGGATCACCAGCCTCCCATTTCATTTAATGGTGCAACCATTCACCCATTTGTTCAGACCAAAACCTAGGAGTTATTCTTAATTCCTCTTTTTTCCTTACTCCCCACATCCAATCAGAAGCCAAACTTACTGGCTTTTTACATTCAAGGTATGTGTTTCCCAAATTCAGTCAAATAACATGATTCTTGCATCAGCAACAGTAGGTGGGACTGTAAGAGAAGGCTTACTCCATGATGTTTGAGCTGAATTTTTAGAAGTTGTATAATCAAAGAAACAGGCAAAGTCCATTTTAGACCAAGAGAGCTCTATTTTTGAAGGCAAATGCTGTTACACAGAATGATTTACTAGATTACTAGAAACTTTCAAATAGTTAAGTGTGGCTACAATAAATTTTTTTGAGAATTAGACCAGTCTAATGAACAAGGTCTAGGTCATGAAAGGTGATAAGCTAGAGTTTGTCTTTGTTTCGTGTTTGTTTGGGTTTTTTGAGGCAAGGTCTTGCTATGTAGTCAGGGCTGGTCTTGAACTCGCTCTGTAGCCCATGCTGGACTCAAACTTGAGATCTTCTTGTCTCAAACTGCTGAGTGCCTAAGCTAAAGAGTTTGAAGCTTACTCTGAAAAAACTCTGGTGAAGCTTGTAAGCTTATATTGTTAGTGACTTGGCTGACAAAACCTTTAGTGAGCTTGAAGCAAAGGTCTACAGGTCTACCTGTGAGCTGCATCTGCAGCCTGAGAGATCACTTTGAAACTAGTGTAGCCTTAGACGATGAATTGGAGAGGCAAGACCAAAGACAAACCCAAAAGGAGCAGACCAGTTAGGGGACTATTGGCTTATTCCAGGCAAATGAGAAAGGCCTGCACTAGAGAAATGATGTTGAGAAGGAATTGGATATTTTATAAGCATGACTTGACAGACATTGATACTAATTATATGACCTTGGGCAACAGATCTGTTTACTTGAAATTAAATAAATGGCTATCGACTATTTTTAGTCTACTGAGAATAAATTCTATGTCTCATGTTGAGGTATTCATTGCCTTTGAACTTGTCAAATTTGCTCTGCTTGGACTGGTCCAAAGTAAGATTGGGTATGCTAGTACTTTTTCTTCTGAGTATAAAAAAAGAGAATTGGTTATTTTTTTACATTCAGTTTTACTGCTAAAATGGTAGTTAGACAGTGTAGTCCACTGGGTATGGGCCTTAGAAATTATTATTCAAATCTTTGTTTCATCTTAGTAGTTCATTGTAAGCAAGTTAACCCTTCTATGTCTTCTTTCTCATCATTACAAGAAAAGCACTGTAATAGTATCTCCTCAAACAGAATGTACTATTTGTTTGAAGATAGGGGTATCAATAGATTTGGTTTCACGTGGATAAGGTACTGCCTCTTTCAAAGGCTAATGGGGACAATGTATTCTTTGCCTCCTTCAGCTTCCCAGGGGCTGGGTGTGTCCCGGGCTTGTTGGCTGTGATACTTCAGTCTCTCTCTGTGGTCAAGTTGCTTCCTGGTCTTCTGTATTAGACTCTTTCTGTGTTTCAGATTTCCCTCTGACATTCTTTTATAAGGACACTTGTCATTGGATTTAGAACCCATGCATTTAACCCAGGATGACCTTCCATTCTGAAGATTCTTAACTACATCTGCAAAGACTCTCCAAATAATGTAACAGTCACAGGTATTGGGGATTAGGACACACACAGTTTTCGGGGGGCCACCATCCAAGCCATTCTAGCAATAAAATAATTTTGGTGCCCTGAGACAAACCTTTTTTTTTTTGGTACCGGGAATCAAACTCAGGACCTTGTATTTGCCAGGCAGGTGGACGAACCTTTTTTGGCTGGGCATGGTGGCACATGCTTATAATTATAATCCTAGCACTTGGGAGGCTGAGGCAGGAGGATCACTGTGAATTTGAGGTCACCCTGGGCTACATAGTGAGTTCAAGGTGAAGCTGAACTACATAGCATGACCCTGGCTAAAAAAAAAATCTGACTTGGGGCTTTTGCACTGAGCTACATCCCCAGCCTAGATTTGTTGATTGCATCCTTATGATGTCATCTAGCAAGTTTTGTTGTCCTCCAAATTTCTATAAATTGCTGGGCGTGGTGGTGGACCCCTGTAATCCCAGCACTCAGGAGGCTGAGGCAGGAAGATTGCTGTGAGTTCCAGGCCTGCCTGAACTACATAGCGAGACCCCATCTCAAAAAAAAGTGTCCATATTTCTGACTCTGCAATTAAATTTCTATAAATTGTTAATCTCATCTTTTTTAAAATGTGCATACTGGGACTGGGGATTTAGCTCAGTGGTTCCACCGCCTGCCTTGCAAGCTCAAGGTCCTGAGTTCAATCCCAGGTACAAAAAAAATAAATGAAAATAAATAAATAAATAAAATGTGCATACTCTGGGTATATTCTTTAAAATGTATTTTGTAGATTTTCTAAAGATATTCTAGAAAACACCTGTTGAATATTTTGTCCATATTCCCGTTTTTCACTGTGTGTGTGTGTGTGTGTGTGTGTGTGTGTGTGTGTGTGTGTGTGTATTTTACTGAGGATTGAACCCTACTTGTTGGGTTACTAGGGCCTTCAGACTGAACTACGTCCCCAGCCCATTTTTTTATTTTGAAACAGTCCCACTGAGTTACTGAGTCCCCCAGACTGGACTCAAACTTGCAGTCCTCCTGCCTCAGCCTCGCAGAATTCTAGGTTTACAGACATGTACCACCATGCCTGGCTCATTTTTCACTGTTCTTAATTGTATTTTCATATGCTCTAGAATGCTGTTTTATTTTTTGCCATCTAAAAAACAATAACTTTTCTAAAAGTCCTCCATAAATTTAATCGAGTTACATTCAATACTCCTAACTCCCAAGTACATATGACATTATTTCGTCCTGCGTGTGTCCTACCTACAGAAAGCTTTAGTTTGATCTAGATTTAGCATATACTAGGGCGGGTGATTTAGCTCAGTGGTTTCGCCGCCTGCTGTGCAAGCGCAAGGTCTTGAGTTCGATCCCCGGTACCAAAACAAACAAAAAAAAGATTTAGCATATACTGCCATTGTACTCATTGTCTTCTCCCAAGGAAGTTGTGCAGCACTGATTGTGTGGTTGGGACTAAAGAAAGTCTACTGAGCAACTGAGTGGAAAGATAAGTACAGAGACTGAAGTTAAATAAACTCGAGTTTGAATGTGAGCTTTCCCAGTACTGTGTGACTTTGTACAGATTACAAGGATAATGCCTGCTTCACATAGAGGTTGAAGTCTAATTTCTTACTTTACTATAAAAAGTGTTCAGAAGCCTGACCCTCATCTCCCTAACCTTTCCTCCGTGCAGCAGCCCTGAGATGCAAGGGGAGTGGGCTACTGCTGCACTGATGCGTTATGGTGTCTGTCTTCTCTCGCCCTCCTGCCCAACCTGCTCCACGTGGAGTTCAAGCTCCCTACATACACAGTGCCTTCCGTAACTTCACCTCCCATGCCTTCTGCACTGCTTCTCTCCTTCAGCTCACTAATTACTGCTCAGAACAGGCACCACTCTTCTGCATCTTCCACATGCACTTTGGTGTGCTTCTGTGTGTGCCCCAGAGCGCCACGTTCCTCTCATTGTCATTGCACCCATCTCTTAAACTCCTTGTGTACAGGGGGGCAGGGATTTAGCTCAGTGGTTCCACTGCCTGCATTGCAAGCTCAAGGTCCTGAGTTCAATCCCCAGTACCAAAAAAACCCTTGTGTACAGGGATTGGAGTGGAGCTCGGTGGTACAGTGCTTTCTTGCCTAGCCTATGTAAGGCCCTGAGTGTGATCCCCAGGGCTGAAAAACAAACAAAAACACCCTGTATATGAATTCACCACTACATTTGCCATACAGTATTATTGTGCTCCATTTTCTCTCACCTCCCCTAGACCATTGATGGTGAACCTTTTAGAGCTTTCAGTAACAGCCTGCTGCCACACATGTGCCTTAGGTTTGCCGCCATTGCTTTAAATGGTACATTCCTTGAAGACTGCAGCAAATAGTCTTGTCAGTCTGCTCAATGTGTTTCAGTCATGTGCTCACTATATTTTTGTTGAATTAATGGTAACATTTGTATGCCAACTATGAGTAAGCATTTTTCTTTTCTTTTTTTTTTTTTTTTTTTTTTTTTTTTGGTACCAGGGATTGAACTCGGGACCTTGCACTTGCAAGACAGGCGCTGGAAACACTGAGCTAAATCCCCAGCTGAGTAAGCATTTTTCAAAAGTTATTTTATCTGGCTGTAATCTTCCAAGGTTAAATGAGATAGCATGGTTATATTTTCTTACACTTGACATTCTTTTTGGGGGGAGGGGGTATCAGGGATCGAACTTGGGTCCTTGAGCTTGTGCAGCAGGCGTCAAAACCACTGAGCTAAATCCCCGGCCCACACTTGACATTCTTAATAAAATCATAACTTATCTTTTCTGAGTTTTGGGGGCACAGCCTCAGGTTACCTCCAAACTCCTTCTCGAGTCCTGTGTTTTTGTTTGTTCCTTTCCTTCTGTTCTCATAGCTCCTTATTTAGAGTAACAGACTCACGAGATGAGCAAAGAAGTCATCTCATTTCTATTTTCCTACACTCAGCTCAGGCTCTGGCTTGGAGGAAGGGCCATTATGAATATTGGAAGAGAAGAAAGAGAGAGAGAAATTTAACATTTCCTAAGCATTCAGATGGCTGGAAATAGTAACTGTATGGGGCCAGGGAATTTAGCTCAGAGGCACCGTGCCTGGCTTGAAAGCGCAAGGTCCTGAGTTTGATCCCTGGTACAAAGTAAATAAATAAATAAATAATAGTGGGCCAGGGATTTAGCTCAGTGGTTCCACCACCTGCCTCTTAAGTGCAAGGTCCCGAGTTTGATCCCTGGTACCAAAAAAAAAAAAAAAAAAAAAATAACTGTATGAAAATTATGAGGACTTGCTAGACCCATTATTCCGTTTCATCCTCTTTATTCTTGTTTCAGGATGCATATCATGTTTACAGCGAAGATACTCCCTCCAGCCCATGCTGGAGAGGAGAGTTCCACACCGGTACTTGGGCCAGCCCAGCCCTTTCACACACCCTCATCTCCTCAGACCAGGTAACAACTGTCTTTCCTTTGAAGTGCTTTGTCTAGAACAATGCTATGCATTAGAATGTTTTGCAGTGATGGAAGTGTTTTAGATCTATGCTGTCCTGCAGAGCAGCCGGGAGCCATATGTAACTGTTAATACATTGATAATGTTCCTAGTGTGATTGAGGAACTGGTTTTTATTTTATGTTATTTTAATTAAATTTAAATTTACATAGCTGCATATGGCTACTGGTGTTGAATTGACACCCCGTCTAGAATAACTACTGAAAAATAAGTATTTCAGGATGTTTTTAAAGAAAAGTTCTATTACTTTATAGGTGATAGTTTCTGGAACTGTATTCTCAGAGCTCACTTTATTTATTTTTGTTTTTTTGTTTTTTGGGTACCGGAAATTGAACTTGGGACCTTGAGCTTGCAAGGCAGGCGGTGGAACCACTGAGCTAAATCCCCAGCCCTGGAACTGTATTCTAACTATTGATTATGAACCACTGTGTTAGAAGACATTTTAGAAAACATCATCATTATTATTATTATTTTTGAAAACATTATTTTCTTGAAAGTGTTAAATGTTCATTTTAGCCAGGCATGGTGGTGCACACCTGTAATCCCAGCACTTAGGAGGCTGAGGCAAGAGGATTGCCAGGAATTCAAGGCTAGTTTGGGCTACATAATGAGTTCAAGGCCAGTCCGAACTACATAGCAAGACCTGTCTCAAAAAAACTAAAGGTTCATTTCGGGCCAGGGATTTAGCTCAGTAGTTCTGCTGTCTGCCTGGTAAGCACAAGGACCCGAGTTCAGTCCCCCGTACCAAAATAAAAAAAAAAACCTCTAAGGGCTGGGGATTTAGCTCAGTGCCATCTCTCCTGCCTTGCAAGCACAAGGTCCTGAGTTCGATCCCTGGTACAAAAAAAAAAAAAGGTTCATTTCTGAATTTTGTTTAAGAAAAATATTTCTATATAGAGTAAGCAAGATTTCCAGATCTGTTTGTCATCACTTTGGTGGCCAATATCAGTTGATAAAGGTGATTCTAAAAGTTTATTTCATTAATTTTTTTCTGCTATAGGATCCCAGGGTTGCTGCTAAAAGATGTGGCTTTACTTTTGCTCAAATTAAGACCTAAAGGTGTTTTTGTTTTGTTTTTTAAAAAGATACTTAGGAGATGAACAATGGGGAATGAATATCATCCCAAAGAAGTAGATTAGGGTAAAACCTAATGGTTTGTACAGAAAGAAGTCAACTTTTCAGGGAAAGTTGATTGTTCCTTCTGCCACAAGAAGATAAATCTGTTATTTACTTTATAGGCATACTATTAACAATGTAAATTGCCTTTAGAAATATGTTACTCTTTCACTGTCTCCACTCAGTGAGTGATACCAGTATGTGTCTCAGTGAGGGCTTCCTGTTGCTGATTCTTCATCAGGCTAGTATTCCTGCTGGGAAGTCAGCTGAGAGTCAGAAAATGCAGTTCACCCCTGAAACACATAAGAAATCAGAGTTTTTCAAAGCTATAAGGTAAGCTGTTAAGCAGCCCAGTTGGTATTGATTTAAGTATTTCTCTACCCTAAGAATCTACCAGTAGTCTCTATTAAAGAAAGAAAAAGCAGGGCCAGGGATTTAGCTCAGTGGTTCCACCGCCTGCTTTGCAGGCGAAAGGTCCCAAGTTTGTTCCCTGGTACTCAAAAAAAAGAAAAGTAGCCTGCCTGAAAAGCGCAAGGTCCCGAGTTTGATCCGTGGTACCAAAAA